GTTTTTCACAAATATATATATATATATATATATATATATATATATATATATATATATATATATATATATATAGTTTTCAACTCTGAGAATGTTAATTATATATATATATATATATATATATATATATATATATATTCAATACATAATTTAATGACATTCTGTAACTAATATAAATGATTTATTTCCAGGCTTGGAAATCATAATTTTAAAATTGTGATATTTAAATTTTTCCATAAATGTGGGAACCATGAATTCCCCACCATTTTCACAGAAACATTCAAATGTCTGTATTTAATATCAAAGTTAATAACTGTGTCTTTTTAAGATTTATTAATTTTACTTAGTTTTAATGCCATATTCCGTGACATTTCCAGGTTTCTATGACCATGGAAATCTGCGTTTTATTGTTTTCATCTACTGTGCAACAAAATTGTTTTAATTATTTAATTTGAGGCATGCAAAATTCTCAACAAGTAAAACCAAATTAAATAAAAACATTATTGACATTTATCACCCATAAAAAATCTGAATAAAATCTGTGCATCCCTAAACTGAATATGTGGGAATTCCAAAAAAAATCAGTTCTAAGAAATCATGCCACACATGTCCGCTAATGTCCAGAATTCACGGAGAGTCTTTCTTAAAAACAAGCCTCCAGGCAAGTACGGTCCATATGCAAGCTGTTGCAATAGCCAGGCATATGCTGGGTATATATAACACGTTTTCACCCTCCCCCTCATTCCTTCTGTTTGATCGCGGCGCAGACCGCCAGGAGCACACCAGACCGCATGCTCACTGTTCATTGCATACGTGCGTTCATTCAGCACAGATACGGGCGCAAAAAGGACATGAACATCAATGGAGAGAGTCACGGTGAGAATGCAAAAGCATCAGGCGCACACACAAACAGCCTCATGTACACAGACAAGCAGATGTGTGAGGCAACCTACACACCCTAAACACTTTAAGAAACACTACGAGACACCTGACAGCTGTTCCTGGCTGGAGGAAAAAAAAGAAGAAAAAAATGGAGAGGGAACGCTTTGCAGCTCGGAGCGCACAGCTGGATATGGAAACAAGTCCCTCTCCCAACATACACACGCTCGGCTCTCAGCATGCAGGAACCGACAGGTGACGGAGATGAAAATTAACTACAAGGACGATCCCAAGTGAGTCTCCTTATTACACCATTGAAAATCCTTCAATATAAGCGGACTCTAATAATCTCTACACTCTAAGAAGTGTAGAAATGGATTACGCCAGTTCAAGATTGACCTTTGTCTTCAATAACTTCCTGTCTTTCTCCTTTATATTGGTCTAATAAGGAGGCAAAAGTGGGAAAAAAACATAAGAAATGATGTGAGAACTTTCCGTAATCATAGCGCCAATGAGGTGCCACCATTTCAATAAGACGCAAGTTAATTAAATTCTTTTAGAGAATACTGCTGATCATAGGCTTTCATGTCTACAATTAGAGGTGGATCCCAAGCAAATTCCCATATTACGCCACTGTAAATCCTTCAACACAAGTAAGACTCTTGATCACTGGAAACACTGGGTACGCCAGTTTAGGACTGACCTCTCTCTTTGATCATTTTCTGTCTTTCTCCAATATATCGGACTAATAAAGAGGCAAAAGTGGGAAAATGTAACAGGTAATGTGAGAACGGCTAGCTTTCAACTTGGCTTGACAGCAGACAGAGGGTCAGTGATGTGCTGATTTCGATAAGGCGCATGAAAAGGCAAAGTGAATTCTCATATTACGCCACTGTAAATCCTTCGACACAAACAGACTCTGTTGATCACAGTAGCATTAAGAGTAGACATGGATTATGTCAGTTCAAAACTGACCTCTCTATTCGATAATTTTCTTTATATCAGTCTAACAAACAGTCAAAAGTGGGAAACGTAACATCAATGATGCGAGTCTAACTTTCTACTTCACTCCCAGGTTAAAGGGATAGTTCACCCAGAAATGACAATTCTGTCATTAGTTATTCACCCTCATGTCGTTCCAAACCCAAAAGACCTTTGTTCATTTTGGGAACACAAAATAATAGATATTTTTGATGAAATCCGAGAGCTTTCTGACCCTGCATAGACTGCAGCGCAACTTCCACGGTCAAGGCCCAGAAAGGTAGTAAAGACACTGCTAAAGTAGTCCATGTGACATCAGTGGTTCAACCATAATTTTATGAAGCTACGAGAATACTTTTAATGTGCAAAGAAAATGACAATATCGACTTTATGTACCGATATCTTCTTTGCTTTGCATCGTGGTACTTTTGTGAACAGTGGCGGACACTGACCGGAAGGAAAATAAAAGTTGAATAAAGTTGTTATTTTTATTTTCTTTGCACACAAAAAGTATTCTCGTATCGTCATAACACGGTTATGGTTGAACCACTGATGTTACATGGACTGTTTTAATGATGTTCTTGCTACCTTTCTGGGCCTTGAACGTGGAAGTTGCGTTGCTTTCTATGGAGGGTCTGAAAGCTCTCGGATTTCAACAAAAATATCTTAATTTGTGTTCTGAAGATAAACGAAGGTCTTACGGGTTTGGAACGACATGAGGGTGAGTAATTAATGACAGAATTTTCATTTTTGGGGGAACTATCCTTTTGAAGGCAAGTTGGAGCTAAACTGTGCAGGACGTTGGCCCTCCAGGAGCAGGTTTGGACATCCCTGATGTACTGTAATTTGCTTTAGATAAACCTTCTCCTATCGGTAAGCCCCTCCCCTCGAACGCAGATGAGTCAATGGCAGTGGAGTATCAGTTGCACGGGGAACGGAACTCGGACATCTTTAGGTTTCAGCGCCATAGAGAAACATTGGAAGATCCGAGGCTCGCATCGATTTGATGGTGTTTATGCTACAAAAATGGGAAAACAATGTGCCTGGGGTACTTGTAACACTGATTCCAGTTATCCTGAGAGGATAGGCAATACAATTTATTTTATTCCATTTCTTGAACCCAAACAAAACCCAAGCAAAATGTCTGTAAGCATTCAACCCTAATCCCAACGAAGACAAAAATTTTCATTTTCTGGTTGTCATACTCTCATTAAGTTACAATTTTCATCTGCTCAAGCAGAACATTAATGTCATCTTATGCTTCAGTAAGGTATCTGGCTAAAACTAGCTAACGTTGAAGTTAGTGAGTCCATGCTAATGTACAAACCTAAATAGTGGACTGTTCTCACGTCATGTACAGTGTAGGTCAAAAACACATAAACGGAGGTCTACATTTCAGTGCCTCTCCATATTAAACTGGTTAAATGTAAATTAAATTGTACCCTGCGGTACATGAACAGTGTTGATCCTCCATGTTGTCATCTGCGATTGTGATGACCGTAAAACATGAGGCTTCTCCTGCTTGCATTGTGATCTGTAAACCCTCGCTTCCAAATTAATCGAGTTACCCACCATATTTATTTTAAAATCTTTTATATATCCCTCCATGGCATATTCAAATGTTCAAAAACATCTTGTGACAATGTTTTCACACTGACAGCTGTCATTGTAAGACAGTGAGCAACTCCATTTGTTTGTCCGAGGGAGTAACAGTAACTAATGCCGAGTTCACACTGCACGATATTAGCCCGATTTTTCACTCGCCGACAGGTTTTGCGAAATCGCCGACAAATGCCCGAAATCGGAGGCAAATCAGTGCTCGTTCACGCGAGTGACAATCACGCAGTGTGAATTATCAAAGACGCAATCTGAGAGAATCACCGACCCATCGCCGACACCCGCAAAATATTTGGCATGCTAAATATCTGGAGCTGTCGGCGATTCACAATCACGCTGTGTGAAATGACTTCTGACTGAAAAACACATCGGCGATGACCTACAGCCAATGAGAGACCAAGATACAGGGCAGAGGGAAGTTCGGGGCGGAGTTATTGACCAGAATATCAGTATTTTAATACATATATGACCAATTATATCATACAGAAACAAGCACAAACATTTGCTTGACCAGCCACAACATCAGCATAACAGTTACTGCAAAATTATTTACCTCCAACTCTCTTTGCAGAACACCCAATCCCTGTTCCCTGCATCTCCCTCCTGCATAATCTGTTTTTCTTTTTCTCCTTGTAGCTGGAAATCAGCTCACAGACAATTTGCGGGTTATATATTTTGTTTTTAAATAATTACAGTCTCGCTGGAGAACTTCGGTCTGACGCACGCGGGTTCTCGCATTATTTCCTTATCACTTCTCGCGTGTGTTTTGTTGTGAAACGTAGTTTGCGGACCAGACAGAGCTGTCGGCGATTCTTCCTATTGTGAAGTCATGCAGTGTGAAACCCCCTTGTCGCGGATCCATCGTGCAATATGAACACAGAAGCAACTGAATGCTATCCCAGATAGTCACACAGTGTGAAAACAACGGCGATCCGATGAGTTTGAAAATCGTGCAGTGTGAACTCGGCATTAGGGGGGCGGGGCTTACCGATAGGTAAATTACTACTGCTATTAGCCTATGTAGTTAAACTAACCTGTTAGCCTTTCTTCCCCTGGTATGGGTGAGTTTCGAGCACACAGAACTGGGCTCGTCCTGATTATGGGTACAGGGGTGACCACTGCAGATCTGTCCTCCCAATAACCCAGTCCAGAGGAAACCTGTTCCTGAAGACAGCTATCCACAGCGCCCCCTGCCTCTGTGGAGTCCAGGTGGTACTCCGGTGAAGAAATGAGTGTGACAGTCCGCTGACCATTAGAGCGGTTCTTTGAGCTGGATTTTAGGGCTGATTTTTTCGGTTGGAGGGGAGGAGGGGTTGGCTGAGGAAGGTGGGAGCTGGATGGTTCTCCATTGGGGGGCAATGGAGGTACTACAGGTCCCTTGCTGGATGTGGGGCTGCATGCGGCTGGGATTCTCTGTCCAAGGGGATCCACGGCATAGGGGTTGAGTGGCAATGCTAGTCTATTCGAGAGACACATTTGAGTTCCACTGTTGCAATCCGGAGGTGTTGGAGCCCTCAGGCCGTTGACATACAAGGGTTCCTGCTTGCTCTCTTGTTTCCGGACCTTCTTCTTTAGCTTCTGGAATGTTCCTCTACCACTCACGTTATCCACAGGAATGCAGTGCGTTCCATCACTGTGGACGATAGCGGGACTCGTCCCAATGTACGTCTCCTTAATCTGTTCGATTCGGACAAGCCGGTTGGGTAGGGTGGGAGCAACCCAACATGGTATCTTCTTCCCTTCGACTTCACCATTAGGTAAAGACAGAGTATTTGAGTTCAAGCTAGGCCCGTGTGGTTCATTTAGAAAGGTCCCACAAGAGTTGCATTGCCTGTTTGCTGTTTCCGGACTTTTGCCATTCAACAAACTCTTCTTGGCTTTTGGCTTCCAGAATATTGAATCATTTGAGCCATGTCCTGTCTCTGCCTGTCCATTGATGTAAGACGACAAGGTGGGTTTGGACACCAGCAGCCCCTGCCCTCTTTCTCCAGCCCTGCGCCGCTGGTGTAGCCGCTCCAGGTAGCGCACCTCAGCGTCCTTCTCCGATTCATCTTCGAAACGCACACGGGTTGGGGACTGTCCATGTCTCCGGCGGGTTCCACCTGCCGAGTCGCCGCTGGAGGAGTCACTAAGGTTTCCGGAGACCACCGCCACGCCCTCCTTCCCAGCAAGAGGAGCCTGGTGTAAGGGTACACCAACCCAGGACAACAGCTCCCTGTACACACATGCACATATATGAAATGAGTTGCATTCCTGAGCACTTAGATACGCGAAGAAACGGATGCATGCCAAAGCAGCTGGCAGACTATCTCTCAGCATGGAGACATGGGCAAAATTTCTTTCTTCTTTGGCTCCTCTGTGCACATTCCTGACATGCTTTTTTACTCCTTTAAGAAAGGTTGTCTTTAGCATGCCAAGCATTTCGATATCATAAGCTCATTGTTAAACATGAGAAAACCAAAACTAGTGCCTTCAAATATCCCCTGCTTGCTTAAAGTGCAGGAATAGTAATCTACAGGTGTATTATTGTGCACTAGGAGTTTTTATGCCCATTAAGCTTAGTGCACTGTTCTGAAACCTATGGGACTTTACAGCTGCGAGTTTGTCTTAAACATTCAATCTCAAGAGAGGCAGTTAAGTGTTAAGTTTAACCCGAGCAAGCTGACAGCAGTGTACTCAACATCACTGAGCTGTTTTCCCCATAAGGGAGAAGCAGGGAGGGAATTAGGGAGAAGGAAAGTAACAGCTGGCAGACATGACAGGTGTAACAGAGCAGGACGGCTCCCAGAAGCTCCCATTTAAATAAAAAGGGAGAATTTTAATCTGTCACTAATTCACTAATTATAATTTTTTTTTTAAATCTAAGCCAGAACATTTAATTTAATTTAATTTTAAAACTAAATACATCAAGTACACTAATTCATGAAAATTCTTTTTTTATTGATAATACATTTTTTATTAACTATTTCTTTTATTAATTTCATTTTTAAATATTATTTTAGTATTTACGTATATTTTTATATTTGTAAATATATATATAAAAAAAAAAACTCAGTGCGTGTCAGGTTTTGTTGTGACATTTAAAATTGCCCTAATCTGTTCCGGATGCTGCCATGCAATGCATGCCGCTTGTCTTCATACCAAACAAGGAGACAGGCGTTTGGGGCGGCTCGCCCATCTGTCTTTGTGTGAAAGTGCTGAGGTAGAGAACAGAGCGCTGGACGGGGAAGTGGGATTTAGAGCCACCAGCCGTTTGTACACGTTGTATAATACAGGTAGTCTTATATAACAGAAGAGTTTGGAGGAGGACGCCAGTATACTTAGTTTAGAAGTTTAAATTCAGACTACTATTAGCTTCATGCTGTTTCACAGCTAGCACTGAATGCGCATCTTTGTTTTCTTTGAAACTAGAGTTGTTCTATAATACTTGTATATCAGTTTCATACAAATACATAGAAGTTACAACCTTATTTAATGTCTTTATATAATATGCCAGACTGAAATAGAAGACAGCACCTGTTGCTTCTGAAAAGAGATTTGCCAAACACTTCCCCCCTTCCCTTTTATCATCTGCCCGTCTCCAAACAGAGCAAAAGACTATTCAGTCCAGCACCAAATAATACAGTTTAAGATCTACATCCCCCACACAGATCCTCAAGAGTGAGCAGGCGAAGGCGTCCTTGTTTTGATATGAAGAGAGCCGTGTAGTCACCCTCCCTTCCCATGATGCCTAAGCCTCAAAACCCAACCCCCCAGCCGAAACCCCAACAAGCCAAGGACTAGAGAGAAAGAGACCGGGAAAACTTACAGGTTGTCCCTCTGGACGGGTAGGATGGTGTGGTCGGCTTTGAGAGGGTTGGACCGGGCCTTCATACGCGCTCTCTCCAGCAGTCGTTTGGCCTGCTCGTGGCGAGGGCTCAGCGGAAGGTCGTCGCCCAACACAAAGGCCCTGTGGGCCGGCCAGAGAGAGAGAGACAGAGAAAGAAACACGTCAGCTCCTGTGCGGAGTGGGGGGGGATTAAGTGGAGCAGGCCGTCATCACTAATTAGGCTGACGGATGCTGAGTGTGTGTGAGGTTTGTACCTGATTATGATGCACTAGATGGGCTTATGCATATGTTTACATGATCAAAGGCTTGAATATTACTTTAAAACAGGAATATGGTGATACCAAGACATAAAAGTGCTTATGAAATCGTCATAAATCAGAATGCATGAGTCATTATCAGGAACTGCTATACCTCAGGACTTACTACTGATATTATTCAAAGAAAACGTAGTTTTACTATGTAATAACTTTAACTCTGTTCAGTGTGTAATGTAAAATATTATTAATAATAATAATAATGAAAAAAATAATATTTGTTTTTCATGAAATTTTGTTTGTTACTGTCACTAATTCACATATTTATTTTTTTAATCCAAGCAAAAACATGGATATACTGTTTAATGATTTGTTTGTTTGCCTAATTAATTCATATTTAATTCGATTCAAAACTAATTTATGAAAAATAAAACCATAAAAATACGTATGAAATCATCATAAATCAGAATGCATGAGTATGGAAATCACAGGCAACTGAACTTAGTCTCATTATTTCATAACTTTAACTATGTTTAGTGTATACCGTAAAATAAATAAATGTAAAATAATACTAAAATTAATATTAATATATATAATTTTAATGATTTTTTTTATTTTTATAACTAAATACATCAAGTACACTAATTTATTAATTGGGGGGGATGGGGTTGGGGGGGGAATAAAACCACAAAAGAGTTTATGGAAAAAAATAATAATAATACAAAAAATTGTTTATTATCGAACATGTTTTCATGCCTCAATTCATCACTATTTTAATGGGTTTTATATAGTTATATAGTTTTTATAGAACACATTTTGAAAATAAAAATATACATAAATATCATGATTATACTGTTAATGTATGGTTTTTCCTATAATGTTCCTAAATTTCCTGACATTTTCCGACACATATTTCCTGACAATGACCCATTTGTTTTGCTTATTTTTAAGAATTTATGGCATCTTCATTAGTTTGGAGAAAAAAGCTCAGCTATTTCCTTTGTTATTCAACTCTTAGGTGGAGTTTAAAGGAGCGGCAGGAAGAGCCAATGATATGATCTAGTTCCTCAGCTTATGAAAAGCATCAGCAGCTGTTTTCTCCTGAGCTCACATTCCACTTTTTTTTGTATGTTCAACATTCAGACGTGCCAATGCTGTTTTTTTTAGGAGGAATTAAAGAACACTACTTTTGAGAGTCTCAGGAAGCTGAAATAATAAATCTCTAATCAACACTATGAGAAGCTAAATACACATGCTGTATGTAAGAGAGTAACGTGAGAGCATCAATCTGTGCTGCTCACCTTTGGCTGTGTTCACTACCTTGGAGCGAAATCCCAGAATCCCAATCACTATCACTGAGGCCACAGATACCTGTGAAAACAGACACAGAGACATTCAGTGTGCAGATTACAGGGCTTATGACCTCCCTAATTAATACTGACTTAATATATATATATATATATATATATATATATATATATATATATATATATATACAAGCATATATATATATATATATATAAAATATATATATTTATTTATTTATTTCCCCTGCTTTCCATCACAACCAAAACTCTAGGTTATCCACAGTTTCACTACAGCTTCATCTACTTCAGGTTGAGTGAACTGTGTTTGCCTGACAGCTAAAAGCCAGTTGTTTATCTCACTTGACAAGGTCATCACGTTTGTGTCCACATCTGTGCTTCAAAAGTGAGGAAAACAAGCGAACAAATGAAGCATCACACTGTCTCTGTTTTCCCATCTCCCAGCCTTTATCACTGTTACTCTGAGTTGTTTTTAATCAGTGTAATTCTCATTCTTATCCTTCTGTCCCCTCATATCTGGATTATCCAGCTCTCTCGTCTATATGACCCCTGCTTCATTAGGGAGGTCATGTGTGATCGTTGCGTGTAATCCATAAACGTGCTAAAGGAGACAATGTCATCTCATCAGACATGCACTAACGGCATTTAACACCTGTCTGATAACCTCGGATTAGCGCTGCTACGCTTTATATCGTACATTGTTACATCGGATAAGGACAATTACATCTCAGCTTTCGGAAACAAGATGGGCGATTTCGAGCTGAGTTTGAAACGCATATGCCAGGTTCTTAAAAATGTGCTCTTTTTGTTTATGTTTTATATGTAAAAAAAATATATATATATATATAATTTTTTTTACTTTTGTAGCATTCAAGAGAAGGATTACTTCTCTAATTACTTTAAACATGCCATGTGGTGTCACCATCTAGTAACACACATCTTAATCATCATTTTTTTAATAAAATATATATCTTTTCAAGATAAAGTTTATTTTGGTATTCATGTTTACATATAATTTTAGACCATTTTTAAGAGATGTTTAATTACTCTAAAACTGTCATGTGGTGTCAATATCCAATAACAATTAATAACTTACACATCTTAATAACTAATTAATAACTACACACAGTCATGAGGATCTGTAGGGGTCCTCTGTGATGTCACTTCCTGTTTTATGCTTCGTTTTTTTTTCTGCATGTTGGTTTGAGCTCATGACTTTTTTCATTTATTTTATAAATTTATAATTGAAAATTTCAAACATTTTTTCATTTATTATTTATACGTAACGAGTCAGTTTTGTAAAAATAAAAGAAAATTGTGATTAAGTGATTTAGTGGAAAAAAAGTGTTCAAAAATACAAAAAGTTTTCAAAAATGTCATAGTTATTCATATTTTTATAGGCTTTTTCTTCATTGTTATATCAGAACAGTCATACCACCTTACCATTTTTGATTTTATGCCCCCTCAAAAAATATCCATATTTATATATCCACTGTAATGGATCTCCTTACCTCTACCACCAATGTGTGTCGGGTCCTCTATCCTTTGTCCTGGCACATGGTCTTTGTTCTGGGCTTTCTGCAGCATCTGTTTGAGAAGACCTCGGTTCATCTCGACCCTCTCAGCCAGGGACAGCGAGCTTCCACTGCTGCACATGCTCTCCAAGCTGTCGGCCCGCCAGAGTCCACACTGTCCCACCTCACCGTGATTGTACCTGTGTAGGTGACTCTCCAGGCTGTCAGACCTTTGCAGTTCCCTTGGAAACTTGAGGCCCATTTTGTGTCCCATGGTTCCTCTATTTGGTCCATCTTTCCCCACAGGGATCTTCCCATTTAGAACCGGCATCTCTGGTCTGATGGACCTCCAGAAACACTTTGGAGGCATCCATGGTTTATCAGATGTAGAAGCATCGTGTTGAGCCCTGCAAGCATCGTTCGAGAGGTTCTCCAGGCTTGCTCCTTCTCCAAGGCCACGTGGGATTGCCAGCAAAGTTTCGGAAGAAATGGGATCGTACTCGAGTTCTACCTGAGGCTTGTGATCTCCGGCAATGAAAATCAGAGGCTTGCGAGGTTCCCCGTCTTCATCGCTGCTGCTGGAGCCCCAAGCGTCCGTGAGGGCGTATCCCAGCATGAAGGTCCCGGGAACCACTCGTTTGTCCTGGTTCTTACTTCCAGGTTCTTTCCAGGCAACTCTGCACTCGGAGAGAGACTTGACCTTGGACTGCAGCGCCGATACAGCAGAGCCTTGAGTTTGCTGATTAGAAGGTGAAGACGGGGTGCTGGGCTCCGGGCTTGTGCTGGAAGGACACTCGTCCTCTGGCTCCCTGAGATGGATGTCAATGTTTTGGGAGGTGGCAGGCAGGGGTTCAGCATCTTCAGAGGTCACTGCATCCTCCATGATCAAATCAGAGTGTCAGTGGAGCATTATGGTGGCTAAAGGGGATGGAAAGAAACAAGTTGGGTCTCACTCACTAATAACTGTGTGGATACACACAAGATAATTTGTTCTTAACTTCATTGTAATTTTAAAGGGGTCATATGACGTTGCTAAAAAGAACATTTGGTGTAACGTGGTTTTTACGTGGTTTAAGGTAAAAAAAACATTATTTTCCACATACCGTACATTATTGATGCTCCTCTCTGCCCCGCCTTTCTGAAACGCGTCGATTTTTACAAAGCTCATCGTTCTGAAAAGCAAGGTGTGCTCTGATTGGCCAGCTATCCAGTGCGTTGTGATTGGCTGAATACCTCAAGCGTGTGACGGAAATGTTACGCCCCTTATACCATATTTGGAAACAGGAGCGTCTCCATGAAATGACGGCAGTGGCAACAATACTACAGCGAGAATAAAAGCTATGCCTTCTTTCTTTGTGTAAACATTTGGGCGGTGTTATGCAAATCTTCCCACATAGTGACGTAGACATGTGGGGGCGTGTTTAAACGAGGCATTTTAGGAGGGGTGGACGAGTCTTAACTTTTATAAAGAATATCTCTTTGGGTTTGAGACTTTAATCTTTGCAACTTTACGGATCTTATATATGCACGAACAGCTTTTAACACTCCAAAGACAAAGGAAAACATGAAATCGTGTCATATGACTCCTTTAATGAATTTGGAATATTCTAAATGAGTAATTTGCATAAAACATACCCAAACCATCACCATATAAGGGATGTCCAAACAACCTTTCCTTAAGCCAGCCTTTAAAAAGTTGTTGGTGAATCAGTTTATTCATTAAAATACTTGTACAAAGATTTCATGCACAAATTTGTGCATACACGTGGTTATTAAATGAAAGCCAACATTTACGTGATTAAAGTGAATGTTTTGTTTATGAAATAAAAGTATTTTATATAAAAAAGCCCTAAAGTTTTGTCTTTTCTTATAAACACATTTGCTTGAGAAGTATCGTTACAACAAAATAAAATATTAAGACTTGTTTTCAGAGAAAGTACATTTAATAATTAAAGTTTATTTTTTCTTTCTGCATATTGATTGGATAAATGATGAATTGCTGATCTGTTTCACACTTTTTAAAACTTTATCATTTTTTTATTTTAATCTGCACTGTTCTGACCGTGCAGATAAAAATTTACATAAATTGCTTTCATAGATTGTTTTGAATATGAATGCATTTAGTCTCTTTCCCCTTGTTTTTAACATGTTTATGATTTAAATGTGAAAAAATCAGCCAGAGCAGTGAAACAAAATACACTCAAGATACATGATCTAAAAAAATAAATCTTTTCTCAAGGCTTTTTTTACTTATGATTTTTTACATATTTTTAACTTAAAGAAAATATTAAAAATATTCATTAAAAATGCTGTCAAACGATTAATCGCGATTAATCTCATTCAAAATAAAAGTTTTCGTTTACATAATATATATGTGTGTACTGTATATATTTATTATGTATATGTAAATACACACACATATACAGTATATATTTAGAAAAAAAAGTACCTGTATTTACGTGTATATATTTATATTCATATCATTTATAATATATATAAATATATTTAATATATAAATATAAAATTTTTCTTAAATATATACATGCATGTGTGTGTATTTATATATACATAATAAATATACACACAGCACATACACACATATATTATGTGAACAAAAACTTTTATTTGGGATGCGATTAATCACGATTAATCGTTTGACAGCACTAAAAATAAGACTTCTTCAGTGCAAAAATGTAGTGATAGATTTGGCAGTTTTTAGTGACATTTAACATGAATTGAGGGAAATACTTGTGTGCAAACAGGCCTTCATTAGGCAGTATCACTTACTGCATGATATACTGTATTTGGCATTTTAAACTGTCTTTTTGAGGCCATTAGTAACCACAGAGGTTTTAACTGTCCTCAGACCAGTGGAAAGCACATTATTCACTTAACTGAATTTTTGATAAATCACTTTTTGTTGACAAGAAGACTTTTGCATCTTTCATTCTTTCCAAACAGCTTTGGCCATGCAAGACTTGACCACAGAATCTAAAAAATGTCTTTTAGTCCCAAACAACTGCTAGTATGTCATTGTGGCATTGAAACGGGATTTTCCCAAGGCTGAGGGAAAGTAATAATGTATATTTTAGTGTAACACATACGTTTCATCTGCTCTACTAACTACTAACGCCAGATGTAGAACAAATAGTTTCGCAAGTAACCAATACAACACGCTAACCTGTTCTGAGAATAATGTAGGGCTTGGTGACACATTATTCCACGTTTAGCTTTCGGCTTAACAGCACTATCCTGCTTTTAAACCTCCAATCATCTTTTCACAAAGCACAATGTCATCAGACTAACATCTGAATGCTCTTAACTTTTAATTAATATACCACGGTGCAGTTAGGTCATGTTGTACACTTAGGATCTGACAGCCATTATTTGGACAAGAATAGAAAAGTATGTTTTCTCTGAGGTAAGTTCACAAACGAGTGAGTTTTCTGAAAGATTAATTTAATTTAATTGGTCTTCTCTTAATTAGGACACCTTCCTGGTGCTCCAGGTACTTCATGCTTGAATAAACAGACATAATTCCATCTGAACACACACAATAAGAGAGAAAATTCTCAACAATTTTAATCGCTTAATAAAGGGGTCATATGATGCGATTTCAATCTTACCTTTCTCTTTGGAGTGTTACAAGCTCT